ATAAAAACTTAAGATTTTAATCTTTAGGATTAAAGTGCTGAAATGCTAACAACCAGAATGCTAAAAGTTCCAGTCTCTGTCAAGAGAAAATGCTATATGAGAAGTTAGGAATTAACCAAGAATGGTGGCTCACACTTGTAATCCTAGCACTTGGGAGGCTGAGGCAGGAGGATCACTGTGAGTTCCAGGCCAGCCAGGGCCACAGAGTAAGACCCTGTCTCAAACAAGCAATCAGTTAGATTGAAAAAAAAAAAAAAAAAAAAAAAAGGGTAGAAGCTGGACTCTGAAGAAGGGACTGGTCATATTAGAGCTGGTGCCAATACTCAGGGGTGTGCTTTTCCTGCCCCTTTGAACATAGTGTTATATTTGCCTTCAGAAACACTCTTCACTAGAGAATAAAAAGAATTTGGCAAGCTCAGTGACCCCTAAACCAAAGACACTTGCTATTACAGAGATTCCTCCAGTGTGGTGAAATACAGACTATTCTCCTTTAGAGATCTGTGTCTCAAGGAAGATAACACTTTTTATACTTAACTTTTGATCTAACCTAGAAAAACCAGTGCCCACTTTGGCTACTTGATAACATTTTTAAAACTGTCTCCACTTTATTATTATTATTATCATTATTATTAGTATTAGTATTATTAAATATACATAATTCATGCCCTTGTGTGATTCAAAAATTCTAGAACTCCTCCACTCTTTATATATTAGTGACTGGAAAAAGTGAAGGACTTTACATTCCTGTATTTGGAGATTTCATGGACTTTGCAGAAGAAAGAGATTTCAAATGACTCTTCAAACCATAAAAACACATTTGGAATAGGATGTGATTGAGGGTTCTAAAGGTTTCAAGGTTGTTACCACTAAAATTTGTTGATTGATGACATAATATGGCAATATCGATTTTAAAATGCATCATTTATCTGCAGTAGAATTCCTTCTAGCTCATGAAATTCTAAGAGTTCTTAATACATTAGAGCCACATTTGTCTGAAGAAGCCGTTCAGGGTCCTGACTGGTTTGAAATGACTACTGTGTAGACCAGGCTGGCTTCAACTCATCCACCAGCTTCTGCCTTCAGAGTTTGGGGATTGAAGGTGTGTGTCACCACACCAGGCTGGTATTAGTTTGTAATTTTAGATAGAGAGTACAAGGGTGCATTGCGTTGTGAAGAGTCATATTTGAGCAAGGACTTTGATTTGGCAAAGATGTGAACCACCTAGAAAAGGGTCCTGTTTGTTATTCCTTAAAGTTATTCAGCAATATGAGGCCAGAGACAGTTACTTAATGTACTGTTTGATGATCTAAAATATACTGTCTATGGAAATGCTTATTTATCTCTGTGGCCTCATGTTTCAGTCTTGAGCTTAGACCTAAATAAGAGGCTTATTAAAACCCAAATGGGGCTTTTACCTAAGAGGGAAAGTCTTGTGTAGGCCAAAGGAATTTTGAGTTCCAGCCCTTTCTTTGCAATGACAAACTGTCCATTGACAAAACAAAAATATAGTTGTCCTGACAGGAATGAGGACATTCCAAAGAGACACTTATGTGTCATCCTGCCGTGGCCTGCCCCCTCCTGCTTTGGCTGTTAGGCTGTTGAAACCATGGTCCATAAGGGATTGGAATTTCCCCTGGAGTATCACAGTGGGACAGGGAAAAAGCTGAAGCTTGGAACCAACCAGTGGAGGCACTTGTCTCCCAGAAAGATATCCTGCACAGTCCTGACAGCTTGTCGAACCTCCTTGCAAGAGAAGCTGAACCAAGACAGTGATGGGCAGGACCATGCCTTCTTAATTGTATAGCCTTTCACCCTCTAGCGAGACGTAAACCTCATGTCAGGACTCCAGGAGATGGCCTTGTGGGGCACCCTGGACCTCTTTGTTCTTTGTAATGTAGCCACATTGAGTAAATGTTTTTCTTCTGGTTTTCACTGTTTAAGTGTGTCTTTAACTGACCTATTGAGGGTGGAAGGACTGTGTGTGTTAGGGTCACCTGGGCTCCAAGGTCTGACCCTAACAACTGTTGTAACAAACTCAGCTCTCCCTCTCCCATCTTCTCTCCCCTTCTCCCCCCCTCCCTCCCTCTCTTTCTCTTACTCCCTCTCTCTTGAATCCAGAGATTCCAATAAAAATTAAGACTATTGTTAAATATTTATGCTCAGAAATTTCTACATGAATGATTGGAAATTCCCAAAAGAACATAATTCTTTGGGTTTTCATCTCAAGAAGCAACAAAAAAAACAAAAAGTAAAAAACACAAAGAAATATAAAGATAAGAAAAACAAATGAGATAGAAAATGTGTGCTAGGAAGAAAATCAGTAAAACTAAAATTCGGTTCTTTGAGAAGATTAGTAAGATCCTAGCAAGAGTGATCAAGAAAGAAGGGGAAAAGAAGACATCACTATATATCTTAAAGAATCAAAAAATTAATAAAACAAATCTTATTAATAACTTGGTTACTAATTTAGAAGTAATTAAATGAATTTCTCAAAAAATAGTTTACCTAAACTGCCAGATAGGGATGGAAAATGTGAATGGCCCCATATCTACTGAGGAAGTCTTTGAAAATCTTATTGTGGGAGCTGGGGGTGTACATCAGTGATAGAGGTTCGCCAACATGTCCAAGACCTAGGACTCAATCCTCAGTACCATCCCAATACTTTTTCCCCAAAAAACCCCCAAAACCTCAAAACCTTACTACCAAGAAAAACTCAGGTCAGACTACCTTCTGGCACATTATTCCATTTGTTAAAAGAAGAAATCATGGCAATCTTATATACATTCCTCTGGAAAATAGGGAATATTTCCTGTTTTGTTACAGGGTCTTGCTATATAGGCCAGGCTACCTTGAACTCACAATATTCCCAGTGCTGGGATTACAAGCATATGCTATGCCACCACACTGTGTTCGCACTCAGAGCATGAAAAGCCTGAAAGAGCAGTAGAGAACCATAGTGAGCTGTGTATCTTATGTTGTGTCAGGCCATGTATCATATGTATGAGTAGAGTCCCAGGAGAAAACAAAAGAAAAAAGTGAGAGAAGAGAGAAAAGTAATAACTAAAATCTTCAATATTTGCTGAAAACTACAAATTAGAGATTTTTCAGCCTTTAACCATTGATTGGTATTTGGGGCCAGAAAATTCATTGTGGGGAGCTATTCTGTGCATTGCAGAACATTTAGCATTTAGTAGCAACTCTGGCCTCTATTCACTAGGTGCCAATAGCACAAGTAGAGAGGTAAAAAAATCATTCCTTGATGAAAATCACATCCCCAAACCTACAGGTCTTAGATCAGTGAGCCCTAAGCAGAAGAAATTTAACAAAGTTGTTCCATAAGCATCAAAAATTTTGACACCAGGGGCTGAAGAGATGGTCAGTTGTTAAGTGCACTAGCAGCTCTTGGAGAGGACCTAGGTTTGGTTCCCAGTAACCATATGGCAGCTAACAACCATCTGTAACTCCAGTTCCAGGGGATCCAGTGCCCTCTGCTGATGTCCATGGGCATTGCATATATGGGTGCACTTACATCCATGCAGGCAAAACACCCATACACATAAAATAAAAATAAAATTTAAAAAATTGAAAACCAGTGAAAAAGAGAAAAATCTTCTAACAGCCTGACTGAAAACAGGGCAGAAACAAACAGAGGTAGAAAGAACAACCCACAGCTTCTCAGAAGTCTGAAGTCAGTAAGCTGACATCAGAGGGAAGACTGTCAACATAACCTAGAGCTTCCAAAAGTGAAGGTGAACTTTTAAAATATGATGGTGGGCATTTATAAAAAAATCTCAGACTCTGCATCTCCATGGTCAAGAGCAAAGACTTTCCTTCAAGATCACCAGTGAGGCAGGATTGCTTGTTTTCACCACTGCTGTTCAACCTTGTACTCTAAATTCTAGCATAAGATGAGAAAAAAAAGTAAATCACACCCAAACTAGAAAGGCAGAGGTAAAACTTATCTGTATTAAGAGATGATGTGATCTTACTTATACAAAATCAAAAGATGAAACATGTTTTTTAAAGATTTACTTTATTATGTATTTGGGTGTCTCTTTGTTGGTGTGTACACATGAGTGCCGTGCTCACGGAGATGAGAAGAGGGTATCAGATCTCTCTGGAGCTGTAGTTATAGACAGTTGTGAGCTTCCGTCTATGATTGCTGGGAACTGAACTCAGGTCCTCTGCAAGAATGACAGGTATTCTTAACTGCTGGATCATGTCTCCAGCCCCCAATTTTTTAAAATTAATATTACATTTATTTTTTTAGACAGTCTCTCTATGTAACCCTGGCTGTCCTGGAACTGGTTGTGACCAGACTGGCCTCAAACTCACAGAGATCCACCTGCCTCTGCTTCCTGAGTGCTAGGAATAAAGGTGTGCACCCCTACACATAGGTAAACATTATTTAATCCACTCATCTGCTGAAAGACTTGTTGGACTTTAGTAATTCCAATAAGTGTGGATTTCTGATTTCTTGATAATGAGCATTATTTCATGTACTTCTTTGTCATCTGTGTGCATGCTTTGGCAAGGTGTCTCTGTTAGTCACTTTTCTCATGCTGTGATGAAGCTGACTGAAGCAACAGCAGGGAGGAGAGGGCTATTTTGGCTCGTGGTTTCCGAGGGTAACAGTCTATCATAGTGAGGGTGGGCATAGGAGCAGCTCTGTGTGTGGGAACATGTGGTGAAAGTCCTGACATTACAGCCAGACCAGGAAGCAGAACAGGACAGAATAACATCTTAGTGTTTCACAGCAAAATAATTTTGTTTTTTTTTTTTTTTGTCTTTTTGAGACAGGGTCTCCCTGTAGCCCCAGCTGGCCTGGATCTCACTATGTAGACCAGGCTGGCCTAGAACTCACAGAGACCCACCTGCCTCTCCCTCTGCCTCCCAAGTGCTGGGATTAAAGGTGTGCACCACCATGCCCAGCAGCTGAGTAATGTTTTATAACTTTAAAATACATATTGCTTTAATCCATATTCTTTTTCCTTTTACAGACACCAGAGAAGAAAGGAAAAGAAACAAATAGTGGTTTTGGTGGGCCAGTTGTTAGTTCTTTATACCATGAAGAAACAATCAGGTAATTTCTGTTCTTTGATAACGGAAATATTTATACATACATATTTGTGTGTATACATAAATATTGCATATATGTATTTTAATCTCGAGATCTTTAACTTGTGAAGCGTCTTTTCTTTCCCCTGCCCTCCCTTCCTTCCTCTTTCCCATCATTGTTCATTGGTTGGTTGTTTCATTAATTTCTTCACTCATTGTTTTCATTCATTCTTCCTTTCTTTCCACTGAAGTTTAAACCTAGGGCCTTGTGCATGATCAGCATGTCTTCTCCCAGTTGAGATACATCCTCAGCCCCTATGAAGTACTTTTTCATAACTTGAAACTGATTTGATGTTATCTCTAGAAGGATAAGTGGCAGAGAAGGATTTTGTAGATGCATAATCTTTAAAGTCAGTGTATCTGAACTGGTGCCAAAGCGTCTGAATATATGGAACTAGAACTTCTTATCACTTACTACAGGGCCTGATTTGGTGCCTCTGGCCTCCACTGCCACCTGCACGTGTGTGTGTGTGTGTGTGTGTGTGTGTGTACATAGACACATGCACAAATACATAGTTAAAAATAAGAATAAATCTTAAAAAATAAAATAAAATTGGCCTGGTAGCTGTGTCATACAGCGGAGAGCTGTCAGTTTGGTTTTCTGATACATATTCATTCTCAACTTTTCTAAGCAACCAAAAAATACTCATAGGCACTTTTCATTTTCTACTCAGATCAGTGCACTTTAACAAAGATCATTAAGCTTAACTTTCTAACAGAATTGGTCACTTTTTATAAATAACAGTGATCTTTATTGTGTTTGATAATTTCTATAAGGGCTCCCAAACTCTAGTATTTTCCAAAATGACCTGATGAATATAGTTTTTTTTTTTTTTTGGAATGTGCTGATGAATATAGTTTTTTTTTTTTTGGAATGTCAGGTGACATGACTAATCAGAGTAGTTCTACAGAATATGGTGCAAATCAAATGTATTCCACTGGAAGTGGGGGTAGAAGTCTGGGCTAGAGTTAAACTGCATTGAAAGAGTTTCCCCTAACCTCTCACTCAGTTCCTCAAGAAATGACTCTTAGATTTAATTTAGTACTTAGAATTTTGAGTATGAGGAACAATGACACTAAATAATATAATTTGTTTCCATAAAGTAGAAACTTTAATTCAGCTCAACACATTTTTTATGCATCTACAAAGAGACAAAACATGGATATTTGTGCCCTTCAGCTTCTTCACTTTTGAATAGTGTGTTCTTAGTGCCTTTGTTTCTTTCTTGTTGTTTTGTTAGGTTTTTTTCTTTTCTTTTCTTTTCTTTACTTTTTTTTTTTGAGACAAGGTCTTATGTGACACAGGCCAGGCTTGAACTCACTTTGTTGCTGAGAATGACCTTTAACTTCTGACCCTCCTACCTCCTGAGTGCTGGGATCACAGACTTGTTCTACTACATCTATTTTAATAATGTAGTTCTTAATACATTTGGC